CAGCATATAACAACAAGCAAGGCCAGTTCTAAGATAATGAGTTCTGAGCACTCCTTTCTTCTAAAAATTCTTCTATGCATTCTAAGGAATGCCCCTTCGTGTCCATCACTTCCTATCTCTAAGTCATTCTCCAGGTCACATAAACCTCTTCTATCTCACAATAATCCCAACTTTGGGACAGCCTTTGAAATGGAGCCTCCACAAAGGCTTTATAAAAGTTGAGTCAGTCATCGTTTCCCACAATCCTTCATTCTCTCTGATGTCCAGCCAGCATCTTGTCTTTTCTCCCTGTTGTGATCCCTAATAATAATGTACCTGTCTTCCCTATTGTTGAAGCCACTTTGAACCGCTGGCTCCCTTCTAGGAGCCAGCTTTGGGAATATTGTCTCAGAGAAAGCCTGATCAGCATCCTTCCCCAGGGCACTGATTTCTGAAAGAGGGTTACAATCTCTGGCCAGCCCTCTAGTTCCTCCTTTACTTAAGTAGTGATTCTGAAAATGTCATCCCCTGTAGACGGGAAGGAGTCAAAGGATCCTTTTGCTATCAGAGACGATCCGTTTGGAAGCCAAAATGGTACAGGAAAGGTGAGATGTAGGTCACTTGGCAAGAGGGCTTGCCAGCCTCCTCTGAGCAGGATCTAATTCTTGGGGACTCTCCAGCAGAGGATGGTGGCCTTGTGCACTCAGATCCAAAGTAAAAATACTTCATGTTTGTCCGAAATGAAACAAGTCAACCACTGTCCCTTCATTGGCACTAGGACATCAAGAATTGACCACAAAGCACAAGACAGGGTGGTACGTGCTCTGCCTCATGTTAATAGGTGCCATCTAGTCCACTCATAACAACCCTCTGAACAACCGATGTAAGCCTTGCCCTATCCTATTATCTCCGCCAAGTTCAAACCCACTTTTGCAGTCACAATGTTAATCCATCTCCTTGAGAGTCTTCTCTTTGGCTGACCCTCTCCTTTTCCCAATACAATGTCTTTTTCTGAGGACTTGACCCCTCCAGCCAATAAGCCCAAAGTATGTGAGACAAAGTTTAACCATCTTTGTCTCTAAGGAACCACTCTCATTACATTTATTCCATGATAGATTTATATCTTTTTGGTAGCCCATGGGATGTTCAATACTCTTTGCCAATTCCACAATTCACAGCATCCATTCTTCTTCAGTCTTTCTTATTATTGTCCAACCTTTACATGAACATAAAGTAAATGAAAATATCATGGCTTAGGTCAGGTACACCTTAGTCTTTAAACTGACATCCTTGCTCTTGAGCACATTGAAGAGGTCCTTGACAGCAAATTTCCCCAGCTGGCACCGTGAGTGTTGATCCAAGTTAAATAAAATTATTGACAATATGACAGATAAGGTGAATAAATTCCCCCACTACATGTAGCTTTCCCCCGCCCCTTCATGAGACAGACGAAGTCCTAGGAAGATAGATTCACTTCATAAACAGTATAGTCTCTTCAGACTGGCTCCCAAATGTTCAGGAGGGAACTGTAGTATACGTTCTGATTTCTTCTCTGACTCACTCAAATACAAGTTTATTTTTGCCCTAGAAATATAATGGCACACTTCAATGTCTTATACCTGAGCTCGCTCAGAATTCCCCAAGGCAGTTCCTCACATCCTTTTATTCATGTGTCTTGAAATCAAAGCATGAGGATCTGTCAATATATCCATTTAACAAAGAAAGATACTGAGGCTCAGAGAAGGAGGATGATTTGGCCAGGATCACCAAGGAAAAAAGAAAAGGTCTAGCTAGTCCGCCATTTTCCCACAGCCTATGCTGCTCAAATGAGCCCATGGGCCTGGAGGACACTGAAGCTGGAATTGCGCTCAGGAATAGCTTCACACTTGTCAGAAGACCAAGTTCTCCCTGATTGGAAAGGCTAAGCTGCTCTCTGCATGGCAGAGACTAAGGATGCAGACATCTTCCCAGATGGAAGCCAGAATGCTATTCATATTTAGCTCTTTGATCCAAGGCTCTGCCACATTGACCCTTTATTACTTCCTCAAATGTCTAGCATGTCTCAAGCCATCTTTATGCTTAACAGGTCTGTAACATGCCCAATGTTCACCAGTGGGACCAACTAAGCCAAGAGCATCCTGAGCCAGGACTGACCACCTTTCTGGATCCCATAACCTACTAGATAGGGTGTCCCCTAACACCCCTTCCCTTCAGATCTTGGGGTCTGCACACAGTGAAGGCAAGGAATTGGCATCTCTTAGGGGGACAAGTGAAGAGAGAGAAGAGGAAACAAGGTGGACCTCTCGGTAGCATTTTGATAGCTAATTTAGTGTGGTCTTGGGTTGGCAAGAAAACAGCTTGCTTCTGGGGGGATCCGAGAGCTCTCCACCGTCTGAATATTCCATGTGTTTGTTTCCCCAGAGGGCTAGAGAACCCTGGACACAGAGTTCAGCAAGAGAGAGTGAAATTAAAAGAGGTTGTGAGTCTTTAACCTTGAGCCTGAAATGAATGTGAATTCAGTCCCAGATTCTTGGCTTCCATGAAGCCGGGTAAACATTCGAGTATGCCGGCCCTCCCACCCCAGGGCCATGCTTGTCCTCAGAGCCCTCTGACCATGGACTAGGTCCTCTACTGTAGGTGCCAATGGAACCAAAATGTCTGAAACCCCACAACTGAGGACCTTCCACTCTCCCCTCCCCCTCTGTCCAAACACAGCGCCTGAGCCCAAATCCTAGCTCTTGGGTAGGCAGGGAGGGGAAATGGAAGAGCCTTTTCCTTCCCATCCTTTTTTCCATTTCAGCCACAGAGAGGACTGATATGGAGACTTGATATGGCCATGTCGGGGTGTCCCAAAAAGTCTTGTCCCCACAGTGTTGTCCAGAGCAGTCCTTTCTTTCTGTTGTCTCCATGCCAGGGGGAGGGTGGAAGGGCCTACATCTCATTGTGTGTTGTCCCCTCTGCATTGTCAGTCACATGACAGGGTCCTGCCACACTCCCTCCCCTCACAGCCAGGAGCTCCAGTTGGTATCACATTGAAATTTAGCCTACAAACAACTGATCACTCGGCTGGGTAGCTACAGTGATAATCTTTGTTCCCATTTTGCAAATAAGAAAATTGAGGCTTATATCATCTTTTCCTCCCCCAACCAAAGAGTGCAGCAGTCCACTTATAAGGAAGGAATTTCAGAAAGGCTGTCACTGAGGCGGTGGCCAGCTGCCCCATGCTTGGCACTTTTTGGCTCTTAAAATACAAAACCTCCACACAGGGCTCCTTACCCTCACCCTGTCCCCAGCACATAAGTAAGGAAAAGGAAAGAAATGCTACTTCAGAAGAAAATAAGTCAGCACTTGTAAATGATGGCTGACAGCAAAGGAGAAAAAACCTGAAAAAAGTTTTTAAACTATAGGTCTTACACAAGACCACAAAAGAATATTTGCAAATTTGACATTTAAGTCAATTCTGTGGACTTGAAAGTCAAGGACAGAGAAGACTTTGGTGATCCCACTCTGAATCTGTACAGGAAGCCCTGAGCACTGACATTTAAAGTCACCAACCAGTGTCATGTTGTCAGATCACTTCCATGGGCCCCACAGAAAAGCATCGCAGGTTTAGCTGACAAGCACACAAATCCTGGGGCTTCCTCCCCACCTTGGTATATGCCTTGGGCCCTGAGGCAGAGGGGTTGCTCTGCAGGGAAGGTGGCCACATGGTCTCAGGCCCCACTGGGGTGGGTGCCTCCCATCTCCCCACTGCTGACTCCACTCAGAGTGGACTAGACAAAAAAGGAGGCAAAGTCTTTGTCTGAAGTCCCATCAGCCCCTTGAAATAGCGAGAATGGTTTCCCTTCCCCCACTCTGCACCCTGTGAGGCAGGACAGGGGACAAGAACAGTGTGGCTGGTCCAGGGTCCTGGCATGACACTCAAGCCCTCCACAAGTAGGACTCACACCCAAGCTCCCTGTTCCTCAGAGGAGAGAGGTGAGGCCCAGGTACGGGGTTCATGACGGAAACTCAGAAAATGAACGCACTTGCTGCTCAGCCCCACAAACTCCAGGACCCCACCTGGGGCTGGGCTTGGCCATTTGATTCTGACCCTACTTTTCATTTTGTGTTTTCAAAGCATAAACAGGGAAATAAGTCTCAACCCAACACTTGGCCAGGGCTTTGAGTCTATACTCGAGTGTTTACCTCCTCAGTGCATGAAGGAAAGAAACGCTGGGCTCTAATGGCTCCATTCACATTGTCCAGGCTTCCAAGTGTAGCTGTGTGTGTTCGTGTGTGTCGTGTGGTTCCTGTCCCCACCTGTGGCATGTACCCGCTCCCCCATGTCCCAAGTCTGCAGCCTCTCATGCTTCCTGGCTGCTGCTGCCCTGCACCTCAGAACGCCCTGAGTTGGCTTTGGTCTGCTTCGCGGCCTTCAGTGTGATGTTCTTCTCTTGTCTGGTCCCCACGTGTTTCCGTCCTCCCTGCTCACCCAGCTGTCTCTCTTCTCTGTTCCTGCTCTGTGTGTGGCGTGCAACCTGTTCCATGTTGTGTGATTTCTTCACTGTGTGTGGGGTGTTTTTTTATTTTTTTTTTAATAGCCTCTCCTCCTTCCTCCTCAGTTTCTACCTGGCTCTCCTGCCCCTTTCTGCATGGTTGAACTCCCCTCCAGAATGAACAAGGCTCAGTCTCTCACTATGGGTGGGCACCCACTGCAGTGGGCCACACTTCCTCTAACCATTGTGTCCCAGCATCTCTGATGGTGCTCGATGACTCCTCTTGCTCTCATACTGTGGTTTTGACCAAAGCCAAAACAATTTAAAAACACAAAACCACAACCTCATGGATCACATAACCTGAGTGTCCCCCACTCCTCTTCTCCCCACTCCTGCCGATGCTCAGAATATCCATAACTGTGGATTCCGGCCTCCTCCTACTGTGCCCTAACTCTTCTCTCACCTACCCCTCACTGGGCCCCACAGAATGTGGCTCCCAGCCCTCAGAGAACAGTGTTTCTAAGCTCTGCTCTTCCCTTGCAGATCCGAGTCGTGAAGGCGTTTCGTAGCTCTCTCTATGAAGGTTTAGAAAAGCCTGAGTCTCGAACCTCCATCCATAATTTCATGGCTCATCCTGAATTCCGGATCGAAGATTCCCAGCCCCATATCCCCCTCATCGATGACACCGACCTGGAAGAAGACGCCGCGCTCAAGCAGAACTCCAGCCCGCCGCCATCGCTCAACAAGAACAACAGCGCCATTGACAGTGGGATCAACCTAACGACCGACACAAGCAAATCAGCTACCTCTTCAAGTCCAGGGAGCCCCATCCACAGCCTGGAGACGTCGCTTTAGCTGAGGACCCCAGCACCTGCCCACCCTCACGGACCCCACCACCACCCACCTTCTGGGCACCCACCTACCCCAGACACCCACGATGCCAAGCAGCAGCAAGCAACAACAGAAAACCAAACACTGGAGAGAGGACTTCCGTATCCCCCACAAATCCTTTCTCTGGCTGTGATGCTGTTTGAACTCTTTTTCACTTCGAGGCAAGGGGCAGGATCTCTGTGGGGGTTTATGGGGGAGAGCAATTTGTCCAAGGGGCCCTTCCTGGCTTCCACTTACACACGGACCAGCCATGCCACCCGGCCACACATCCCCTGCATGGATGTACTTACACCTCCACTTCTCCCCTTGTTTGGTTTTCGAGGGTTGGGGGAGGGAATTTTTTGTTTTCATAGGCGGGAACTACAAATGGACTCTTTTCTGAGACTGTTTATCCAATCCACTGGTCTGTGAGTTTTTGAAATGCTTGCACAGCATGGTCTCAGTTGTATAGATTAATTTAATAACTTTTTGAAATTGCAGAGCTTAACTTGCCTAGTAGATTTGCACCAATGGAACTGAAGAACTTCATAGACACTCACAGGTTATATCCATTTCTTTGTATCTATATCAACGTATACTTCTCCAAAGCCGTATACGTCCGTATAGATAGGTAGATTGATGTGTATACATATATATATAAAGTATATATGTATATATATATGCACACATATATATACATGGAGATATATATATATATATATATATATATATATATAGAGAGAGAGAGAGAGAGAGAGAGAGAGATAGATATATAGATATATCTCGTTTCTTTGCTGGCATGTTGCCTTGTTTCAGCTTAAATTGCTCTATTTTAACTTATTTATGTCCTAAAAGAAGAATGTAATTTGTTTACAGACTTGTAGATAATGTCTCTGGCTATTTGTACGGTTGAAGAACACTGGTGCCTGAGCCCACAGACAGCTTGGCACAGCCGACCCCTCTGGATTGCACCCTTGATGTTTTCTGATAGCCATGCTCTGATTTTTTTGCCTGCTATTTCCGTTCAATAATGTCACTACCGAAGGAGGCTCAGGCAGAAGCCCAATGCTCTAAGCATCCATCAGAGGGTTTCACAACATGCTCTGTAGACAAAGGGAGAGGAGGGGAGAAGGCTTCCCAGGTTCACAGGACAAATAGCCATCTGGGCCCAAGGAAGGCAAGATCTGGGAAGCAAGGGTGGAAGGCTTTTTCTCTCAATGAAACTCACTTGAGTTTACCAAGAGCATAGCATTTCCAAACTAGGTTCTCTTTGTCACTGTCTGCAGAGAGGTGGGGTAGTGTTGCAATGTTATAAATGCTATTGTGTTGAATTTTTTTAAGTTAGTAATTTAGAGGTTTATTTCCTTACAAACTACAGCATATGAGCTGTTGGCTTATGGATGAGGATCAATATGGCTTGCTGCTTTTATTTTTATTTTTGACAAAAAAAAAGCCTTTTCTCTGCACTATTTAGATCCGAATGAACTTTAGGATGTGTATATTGAAATGTATTCAGTGTGATTTTTTTAAACCAAATTGTCTTCCTGTAGTCACAATATATACTGTAGCCTTTTAACAGCAAGTCTTGCTTTCCTAGACAGAAAGCCATTCTGAAACCCTGCGGTATCACAGGTGAGAAAGGTGGTTATTTTTCCCCAAGACAATAACAGCACTAGTAATCCAACTTAATAAGAGCTTATTTAATTGTATGTCAGCCTCTTAACTGCTAAGCACTTTGTGGGTCTCAGCTTTTTTCATAAAAGAACTTTTGTATTTAATACAAAGTTTGCTTTGAGACTTTTCAGCATATGATCTTTTTCCATAAACTTGTACAGTGCAAAAGACATTTTGAATACCATGATCAATGATGTCCCGTGCTTCGAGGAAAACCAGACACTTCCCGCCTTGCTTGCAAAACTCATTCCTCTGCTGTCCCTTCTCATAGCTGTTCCGTGTCTGACCGGCCTCTTCCCTTCTCCAGACCCAGAGAATTCTTCCACAAACAAGATGAGATCCCCTCAGGAAAAGAGCCATAGTCAGCTGGGAGGGCCTAAGTCTTGATGGCTGTGGAAAAATGTGAAGGCTTGGGGTCCAAAGTTAGCCAACTCCACAAGGCTAAGCCCTTCTTCCAGGAGAAAGCTTTCAAGAGGGCTTTTTTGTGAGAGAACATCTCCTGAATGTCATGATTAAATATCTCTGAATGTATCCAGCAAAAGAAACTGCACCCGCAAAGTGCTGACTAGTTTCAGCTCCACGCACCACCAAAAGCCAGTGGCTGAGTTCCTCTGAGGAAGGAAGCACTCGAGTGTGGGATAGGGGGCAACAATGGCATTTCCAGAGTGTTCTTTCTCAAGGTTTCCCACACTCCCTTTTTTCATTTGAATTCTATGTTCATGACACCAGAATAGTCCCACCTGCAGCCATGCTCCCTGTTCCTCCACAGTCAGGAGGTAGGAACACAGAAGGGGCAGCTCTGAGTGGAGCTTCTTTTGGGCAATAAAGAGCAACAGAGGCTGCTGAGGATGTTCCACATCAGCACTGGTCTTTCATCATCAGGAACGGCAGATTCCACATGCACCCTCACTCTTACACAGCCACACACGGGAAATGATCCGTTTGTCAAAACTCACTATAGTACACAAAGCTTGTGCTCTGCGTCCTATATCTAGCAGCATGGGGTACGTTTGGCAGTTCACCCCACTAGGGGGTAAATAATTTATGATCATTCATCTGTTTTTATGAATTTTTTTATCTAGACAATAATTGTAAATAAAGAACTCACAGTCTCTGTTCATTTAATACTATGCAATGGTTATGCTTTCAATTGCTGACTCTTCTTACTCCCACGATGTGGTTCTAAAATGTCTGTGGTTTTTAAAAAAAAACAAAAACAAAAACAACAGCAAACAGAACATCAAAATCTGTGCTCTGTAATGTATACTTCTTCCTGATTTGGGACTGCACCATCCACTTAGCTTCTTTTCTGCCCTCTGACAAGGAGCCCAGGAGGAGGCACTCATGAGTTGTGAAATTTAAGATGTCAGCTGGTATCCCACACAGGTGCAGACAAAGCAGGCAGTGCTACCTTGCCAGGGATCTGGGAAGGCTCTGGGGAGTTAGCTTTCTGCACCTTAGGCAGAGCAGCCCTTCACCAAGGCGCTGGCCCCAAGGGCCCAGCAAAGACAGAGCTGGTAAGAGCAAAGGTACTTACCTCTAAGACCAGACCACCCATAATGACGACGTTGGAGCAGCAAAGCTGTCCCATCTCTTCCTGGCTGAGCAAGTCACCATTGAGAAGTGTCACTTTGACCATATACTGACTACTTACATAGATTTGGGTTGGTATCTGGAATTTCTCTTCTAAAACCTCTTTTGAATGTCTCGTTTGGCACCAGCCACATGGCTTCAGTTTTTGGAGCTTTAAAATATTGTATTATCTGGTGGAGTGAGTCCCCTTTGCTCTTATTTTACCAAATTCCCTGACACATTCTTCCAAGTAAACTGTGAAATGCTGCTGGGTCTCCCACTCCTTCCCGAATTCCAGCCCTCATTCCTGGCCCCATCTTCCTTCCTGGAGCTGCCCTCTGTTCAGTGTGTCCTGTCGGGAGGAACTAACAGGACTTTCTGATTCTTGAGGGAAGTGGGGCTACTATAATTTTGCTTAGCCTAGGAGTAGTCAGGAAGGTTATTGAGCCCACACCCAATCTCAGTTTGGGAACCAGGATCTCTCTCCTGGCTGGACTGAGGTGGACCCTTTATCTATCTCTGAATCATATAAGAAATAGAAGCCTATCTCAGACCTGGAGCTACCAGAGTGAGGAGAGACCTTTGCTAGGCAGAATGTCTGGACTTCTCAACATGCACAAATCTTGACTCCCATCTCCCCTTCCTGAGCTGATTTTCCAAGGTGTAAAATTTCTTGGTGGGACCTCTTCATGACTGTGTGGACACAGCCACCCAGATTGCACTTTTGCCCCAAGATCTGACATCTGGATTGGGGGAGTAGATTTCTTGAAGGTTTGGGCCTCCCAGAACCAAGGACAACAGTATGAGATTCCTAGGTCTTTGCCAAATTCCAAATAAAATTCTCCTAACTTTGAGATAGAGAATACCCCTGTTCAAGCATGAGCAAAGGGGGGATGAGAGGGTGGTACCAGGCCCTGTTCATCAGCCATCATCCCTTCCTCTAAGAGCAAGAGAGCTGAGGGACTGCCTTCCCAGCTTTCTAAGGGTATTTTGTAATGCCTGAGGTGTTCTTCCTACTGTACCTGGAGCTCCCCTGCAGTCACAAAAGAATGGTGCCGCCTCGCTTCCACAAGTGTCCTGGGCTCTGGGGATCTCTGTGACAATCTGGTCTGGGACGTTTCTGTGCTCTTTATTGTACACTTTATTTCTCTGTATCTCTGGCTTGTGCTCTTTGTAATGAATGGGATTTATCTGCCTTTTCAACACTATACTGAGCAATAAAATGCACACGTGGAAATGTGGACACGGTGCACATCACAAGGCCTTTTTCCACACAATGGCTGGGTCCAAAACACAACCACCCCTCTTAGCGCATTTGAATTTAGGGAAAGATTGAGTCCTTGGGAGGGAAAGGCACTTGACACAGCATTCAGTGGATGATGTGTCGCCTCCCACCAGGCCACCTCTTCTGGAGGGAGATCTCTGTCCATAGTTGGAAGCTCACCAGATGAGGGAGACTGTTTAGGAGACTAGTCACTCCATGAGGAAGGGCTGACAGTTCCTGAGGCCTTGGGAGAAGGCAACTCAGAAAAGGAGGATAGAAAAGGGGGAATGGGATTTCTGGGGAAAGAGAGGGGATGCGCATTGGAAAAAGCTAAAGAGGAAAGGATGAGAAGCATGGACACAGGATGCAGGAGGAGGGAGGCAGAGGGGAACCCTGGCACCAAGAGTCTGAACTTCGCAAACCAATGTCTTGGAGAAAGTGCAGTCAGAGTGCTCCTTAGAAGCAAGGATGGCAAAACATTATCTCATGTACTTTGCACCTATTGTTAGGAGGGCTCATTGCTTGGAAAGGTAGAGGGGTCAGCAAAAAAGAGGAAGACCCTCAACCAAATGGACCAAATCAGTGACTACAGCAAAGGGCTCAATTGTGTCAGAGTTTATGAGGATGGCACAGGATAGGGCAGAGTTCAGATCTGTTGTTCAAAGATAGAGTCACTAGGAGCTGTACTGGATTCAAGGGCACCTAACAACTGACCACCTGAAGAAAAAGAGCCTAGACTAAGAAACCAGCCCCCGTATTGGGTAGAGTTGCAAATATCAGGAATGCATATGCACACATAGAAAGAAGTAACTGTCAGATAAAGCACCCGAGGTCCATCTAACTGCCAGACACTGTTTCACATCCAAGGGTCCATTTCAGCCCAACAGTGACCACTGACAGAGGTATTACTGTAACTCCCACTTTCTGAAGGAGGACCCAGCAACTCCACGAGGTGAAAGGGGTACCTGCCTAGCAATAGATGATAGATACATTTATACCTAAGCCATCCTAATTATGGAAACTGTACTCTAAATGATGTCTTTTTGTTCCGCCAGCAAACATCTTAATGATTAAGATATGGTTCCACTGCTTGTCCCAAATCCTTGATTTCTTCAATTTTATTGCTGACACCAGGCAATTCCATTAATAATATAATAAGAATGCCCAATGTATTCTGCATTATTATATGTACGCTCCTTGGACAAAGGCAACATGCCTTTCTGGAGGTGCAGGGCCAGAGAAAGAGAAGATGACCCTCAAAAAGATAGATTGATACAGTGACTGTAACAATGGACTTGAACATATCAGAGACTATGAGGATGATGCAGGTTAAGGCATGGTTCAGATCTGTCATTCATTGGGTTGCTCTGAGACAATGGCACCTAATGACTCAATGACACCTAATAGCAACAATATGCCATGGAGGAATTCTGGTGGCCTTGTGCATTAAGTGTTGGACTACTAATAAAAAAGGTAGCCAGCTCGACTCCACCAGCCACTCTGAGGAAGAAAGATGGACTGTCTCCTCCTGTAAACATCGGCAGTCCAGAAATTCAATAAGGGTGCCATGAGGCAGAAGGTTTTAATATGCCATTACCATTACTCATTCAAAGAAAGGTTACTCCATTGTCTCAGCACCCAAAGCTCCTGGCACTTTCTGGACAACTTTGGTGAGAGAGGGCTCGGGAGACCGATTGGGAGCCTGGGCAAGGGCCACTTCCTGCCAACAACTGTCAGAAGTGAGACTTAGGAGACAAGTGGCTTGATTTTATCACCTAGTTCAAGGCCAAGGTCTATCCCTTAAAAAACAGAAAAACTAAGATTTACATACACACCTGCAATTTCTCCACTAGATTGAAATTCAAATTCTAAATTCTGAGGTGGAGGAGCAAGAGTGGTTTATTACATGGGGATCTGGAGGCATGCTACAACAGTCCATTCTTCTGGGTCAACCTCAGCTCCTTGACAGTCTGATTCTTCTTGGAGTCTTAACATCTTCCCTCAAAGGAAGGTTCTCCCCTAAGTCATTTCTCTTACACTCAAGATAGGAAATTGAAGGACTGTAACCCTAGATTCCTTAATCCTCTGCCTCCCTAAAGCTCCCAGGAGCCTGTGGATGCTGGACTTTGTGTGACTGAAGCAGTAAGAACTGCAGGAGGCTAGTAAAGCTATCCCTGGAAATTACTAATGTTTATACCATCAAGTCACTCTCGAGTGGATTTTCAGAAGCAGTAAATCAAATCACCCAGGTGAAGACTGCCCATGTTCCTCCCGTGAAACAGTTGGTGGATTTGAACTAACAGTCTTTGCCATTAGACCATCAAAGCCCCTTACCACCAGTAGGTCACTGTTGTTGTTAGGTGTCCATTGAGTCAAGTACGACTCATAGCGACCCTATGAACAAGAGATCTGAACCCTGACCTATACCTGTGCCGTTCTCAGAATTTCTGACACACTTGATCACATTGCTGCAGTCACTGTCGATTCATCTCATTTAGAGTCTTCTTTTTCACTGGACCTCCATCTTTCCAAGTATGATGTCCCTTTCTAAGGACTAGACTCTCCTTAGAATATGAGATGAGTTTCGCCACTAGGCCACTCCCTAATCCCTAATGAGTCAATACACCAGAGCTTCAGATTGATTCCCCTTGGCCCACATTTCAGGGCAATCCAGAGAAACCAGTGCCCCATCCCACCCCTCCGCCCCACCCCATCACCACTCTCACCCTAGTCCCGCCCCCAACCCCTCCCCTGACCCTCACCCACAACCTTCAACCCTGTCCAGTCCGCGCCCCGCCCCCGACTGTCACCTCCCCCTGCAGGTTTCCAAAGACTAAGAAAGAGGTGGAGCAGCCGGGACAGGGCAGCGGGAAGTGGGCCACTAAAGGGCTGTACACCCGGAATTGCGGAACCTTTCTGGGTGTGGCGCTAGTTGCTGCCCGGAAGTTTTGAGCAGGGACTACGGCCGCCAGCGCTGCCGGAAGCGAGCTACTTGGAGGGGACACCGGTAGCTGCCACGTCCGAGGTTGCTTGCTGGTCTCTAGCCGCCTTCGCCCCAGCCATGGTGAGTGTCGGGCTCAGGGACGTCCAGCGGGGTTCGGGCCACGGTCGCTGTCCTGACAGACCTCGCTTCGGAGGTCCTTTTGCCTCTGGAGCTCGAACTCGGGGCTGGGTCATTCAGCATCTCGCCACCGTTGGGAGGTTTGGGGGACCTGGCCCTGCCAACTAATAAAGAAGCCAGCGTGAGCCGCGCCTTCTTTTCTTCTTTCTGCTGTTAAAAACAGAAACAATACCCCATAGTAGCTGTTGTAGCCAGAGATCTTAGCAAGTTCCAAGTATTGCTCGGAAGTCGGCCACCAACCCGGTGAAGTCCATGTTGTTGTCCACACTTTGCAGACGGGGAGTGGGGAGTGTTGACTAGAGAATTGAAGCCTTGTACACAGCTGGCAGGTGACAGATGAGATTCATACTTCCTTAAGCTGTCCTTTCTATTTACCACCGCTCCCAGTACAGATATTTGACAACTCCTCCTGGGTGCTGGGTCCTCATGCTGTGAAAGTCACTTAAACAAAAGGATTAATTGGAGGATCCTTGGAGTGGGGCGCAGTTTCTTTCTTTCTGTGGTACCCATTCTGCACTTGCTCATTTAATGAACAGCTGAGTTCCGTACACAGTGCCTTCGGGAGAATGGCAGTGCTTCATCAGCAGGCATGAGGGAACCGAGACAGAAGTCAGGACACTGGGTTTAGTTCCTGCTCAGAGGGCCAGAGCGCCTATGTATTAAATCTCTGGCTATTTTGGCCTCGGATTCTTTAGTTGTTGAATAGAGTTGCAAACCTGCTTACCCTCTTCCTGCAGATTCTAGTTTCCAACTTATTAACTGATTCTGAAAAGCAGAATTGATTTTGCCTCTTAACAAAGACCAAGTAACTCCAGGTACTCAGAAAGAATACTCCCTTATTTTTATTTTTTAAAAAAATTACTGATACAGAAATATGATTGACTAGCCCTGGCTGATAAGGCACCATGACTCAGGAAGCCTCCACCAGGTTTTTAAGGCTACGGATCTTTACAGGAGAAGACTTCCCATCTTTCTCCATGAGTGCAGCTGGTGAATTCGAACTGCTTATCTTTCGGTTAGCAGCTTGATGCTGTAGTATTATGTCATTCAGGCTCCTTACTAGGTAAGAGTAATTAGAAATAAATGCTATCTCAAATTCTTTGATGATCTGGTATAAAACTGCTACCCAATAGACTTTCCTCCTGGACTACTTCACTTTTAGCTTTGGAATTTAAAGAAATGTTTTAAATAGGTAACTTGGTGGAGTGGCAGGCTTCATGGGCTGGGAGTTAGGAAATAAGGTTAGATTCTAAGCTCTGTTGCTGTATCATGTGCTTTTCTCTGAGCTGCCATTCCTTAACCTATCAGACAGCTAACTGCCCAGTGTCCCTCCCAGTGCACATATGCCCACACTTTGGACCCTGAGCAGCTCTGCACTCTCCTTATCTTCTTTTTTGCAGACCTTGGCCACCCACTTGCTGGAAAGCCTAGCATCTGATGAAGGAAGTGGTGCTCACTTTTTGTGCTGTACCTTTTGCACTGCTTTGCAGCCTTCTTCACCTGGTGTATAACTCTGAAAAGTCAGATCAAACTTCATACCTGCAGGAAATGATGAAACCAGGGAAATGGTTAGATATGTCACTTCCAAATGAAACCTCCTTTACCAGCCTACGAATTATTTTTTTAATTATTTTTTAAATAGTGGTCAATTTTGTTTATTCACTTGCTCATTCAGTAAATAGTTTCTTCAGTTTGCAAACACTGCTGGATGATATGAGGAGAGTCAAATTCAGACAACTCAGACTGCTCACAGAGCTCACCTGCTAGTGGGATGAAGACAGTGCACAGTAGTGCTGAAGACAGGAGATGGCAGCTAGTCGGGGGAACTAGGGATCATCCAGAAAGGATGAGCAAGGCCTAGAAACATGAGTAGGAGGGGGAAGATCATGATAATCATGTTACTTCTTTCCAGACTCTTCAGTATTGAACCCCATTAATGGCAATCTCAAGTCTGTGACAAATTGTGGACCACGGAGCAGCCTCCAGAAAAATTTGAATCAAGTCTTAGGTGTAAACCTTTTGTACAAAAACTGCCAAAATAAGAGGATTGTCTGGGACAATCCATGCCTTCCACATGGATTATATCTCAACATCAAGAAGATGTAAATCCTCACCACTGGACCAATAGGCAGCATCATGATAGATGGAGAAAAGATTGAAATTATCAATTATTTCATTTTACTTGGATCCACAGTCAACACCCATGTTAGCAACAGTCAAGAAAGTGAAAGATGCATTGGGAAAATCTGCTGTTAAGGACCTCTCCACAGTACTAAAGGGCAAGAATGTCTTGTTTAAAGACTTAACTTGTGCCTGATCCAAGCCATGGTCTTTTCAATTATCTGAAATATGTATCTGAAAGTTGTACAGTGAATAGGAATAACAGAAGAATCAATACCTAAGAAAAGAATCAATACCTTTGAGCTGTGGTATTGAAGAAGAGTATTGAATACCCCATGGGTTACCAAAAGAACAAATAGGTCTGATTTGGAGGAAGTACAACCAGAGTGTTCCTTAGAGGCACAGATGGTTGGGCTTTGTCTCACATGCTTTGGGCATGTTGTCAGGGGGGCTCAAGTCCTTGGAAAAAGGCATGCTGGGAAAGGTGAAGGGTCAGAAAAGAGAAAAAGACCTTCCAACAAGATAAATCGACACAGTGGAGCTTGATCATATCAGAGTTGGTGAGGATGGCACAGGATAGGGCCGAGTTCAGATCTGTTGGTCATAAGGTCACTATGTGTGGTGGTTGAGTCAGTGATGCCTAACAACAGTGGTATCATTAGGAAGGGAACCTAGCTGTAACTCTCATGGTTGTTCTTAGACTGCGTGCTGTGTTCCCTTCCATATTAAGCAATTTCAAGTATCTGTGTCTCTAGTCACACTATCTCTTCTGTTCACCGCCACCACCTAGCAGATTTCACTGATCCGCTAAGCTCCATTTCATCTCCTCAGATCATACCACCTCAGCACCTACTTATGCCATATTAGGGTTATTTATATGTGAACTTCTCAGGGGCAAGGAGTACTTTTTATTCTTCTTTATGTCTCCAGCATATAAGTGTAGTGCTTGATCTACAACCAGGAGAAGATAAAATAGATAAATGGGACCTTCTAAGAATCAAATCCCTATGCACATCCAAAAACTTCTCCAACAGAGTAAAAAGGGAAGCCACAGACTGGGAAAAAGTATTTGGTAATGACATGTCAGATAAGGGACTTATATCCAGAATTTATAAAATACTTGAACACCACAACAATATAAAGGTAAACAATCCAATTGAAAAATGGGCACAGGATATGAACAGACACTTCACCAAAGAAGACATTCAGATGGCCAACAAGCACATGAAGAAATGTTCAAAATCCCTAGCTCTTAAGATGCAAATCAGAACAACTATGAGATATCATCTCACCCCCGTCAGAATAGCAAAATTTAACAGAACAGCAAGCAACAAATGCTGGCAGGGTTGTGGAGAAACTGGAACCCTTATTCACTGTTGGGAGTGTAAAAATGGTGCAACCACTGTGGAAAGCAGTGTGGCGCTTTCTCAAAAAGTTGCAAATAGAAATACCATTTGACCCAGCAGTTCCACTACTGGGAATATACCCCAAAGAGACCATAACTATCACCCAAGCAGATTTATGTACACCCATGTTTATTGTGGCTTTGTTCACGATAGCAAGGAGTTGTAAACTACCTAAGTGCCCATCAACAAACGAATGGATAGAGAAGCTGTGGTATATTCACACAATGGAATACTATGCTGCATTGAAAAGCAAGGAACTCATGCAATATTATTCAAAATGGGTGACCCTGGAGGACATTATGCTGAGTGAAGTATCTCAGTCACGAAAAGACAAACACTGCATGGTGCCACTGTTGTAAAACAGGACTGACATCGGGGTTGGGGGAAGACTGAGAAAGATGGGATAAATAATGTATACTACATTGAAACAGATGAGGGAGAAAACTGTTTAAAAGGGATATGTGATTAGGTATAATTGTCATGACAGGAATCCCGAATGAAGGCTGCATAGTTGAATAGACCTGGGGGGAGAGAGAAAAACAATGGGGAACTTTTACTTTTCAAATAGAATAGTGTACTGAGGGGGAGGGGTGCGCAGGGAGAAAAGTGCAACAATGAATGAATGGAAATCCAAAATATCTGTAAATTTTTGTTAATTAAAAAATGATTGGGGGAAAAAACCCAAGTTGTAGTGCTTGGCAAAAAGAATAACTAGTGAGTGAGTGAATAACAGATGAAAGTCAGGAACTTAAGAACTGGTTTGTGAGTTTAGTGAGAAGATTGTCTTCTGACAGCCAGCAGTTAATTCACCAGGATTGTCTTTGGTTCTAGGTGTCAGTAATCAACACTGTGGACACCTCGCATGAGGACATGATTGTGAGTATTCATTCAGTCCTCCCACGTAGGCTGTGGACATGGGAACTTCTGTGGAAGGGAGGGGCTTTTGTGTTTATCCTTTTCTTTGGTTAATTGTAAATTCAGATACAGCTTTGCAGCCACTGGTCAGCCTCTAGTTTTAAGCCACAGTCAACCCAGATGTGTCCTGTGAATTAGCAGGACAGTGACATTCTGGTCACTCCGGGAAGAGAACTCAACCTTCTGGCCAAGGGGATGTGGATATTTGACACTAGTCTTCCCACTTGTCTTCTGCTGCCACCTCAAGAAGTACTAAACTGTGGGTTTCCTGAGAGGAAGCATGGCTCAAAGGACAGCACTGCAGGAGTGAGTCCAGAGGTTAAAGTCCCGGTAGGAGAAACACAGACTACTTCCCTCAGGCCTGAAAGTTCAGGTCACCTTTGGGCAAGAGCAGTCCCATCAAGCTCAGTTGCCTTAGGCCCAGTGCCACCATAGTCCGTCCTGTCCTGACTCTCCAGCCAGCAGTTGCTTTTGGTTTTCTGAGAGCTTGCCTGGTCTGAGTTGTGTGTGTTTGTGGATTCTGTAGTGAGTGGATTGGTAGCAAGACCATAGCTCCTTTCACACAGCATGGTACCAATATGAGACTCCCTGCTCAGTCTCTAACTTTTCTGAGCCTGCCTCGATTTCCTCATAGCTAACGTGAACATAGTAATAGACCAGCTGCTTACTTGTGTTGGCTGAGTTTAAGGAGTAGATGAGGCAAAGTAGAAATGACTAGTATTTGCTCATTAAATACTCTTTATTCAATAATTCATTCAACCTTCATCAACAGCTCTTAAGCAGATACCATCATGAATCCTATTTAGAAGAAAACTGAAGTTCAAGGAAGTTTGTTAACATAAAAGTTGCAAAAAGATAAGCTAAGGATGTGGGATTTAGCTCAGGGTACTGTTAGTTTGACAGTGCAGTGGCACCTATACTGTCTTCTTAGGAAACCAACTCCTGAAATAGTGGGAAGAGTTGAAATCCAAAGAAAAACCAAGATGTTTCCTTGGGCACTGACCCAGACAGAATGGGGCAGCTGAGGAACGTGCACAGTATGCAGCAGAGAGCTGGTATCATTCAGCCTGGCCAGAGACTGTGTGCCTCACAGGAACCCTACCCGAGATGGATGTGAAGGCCTGGGCAGGGTCAAACTTCTGGATGGTCAGTGGTTGTCAAGCAGTTTGGTTCATGAATGGTAGGGCCATTGACACTAAGTCTTTATTTTGCTTAGATGTGGGAAACTTAGAGTACTAGTACATCATTAAGACATAGGAGAGGCAGAATTCTAGGAGCCAGTGTGCACAGAGAACCCAAGTCCATGAAGGAAGAACCCAAATATCTGGATAGAATGCCATGGCCAGTCTGGCAGTCCACCAGAGAGACCAGTTAGACCTTGTGTCTGTCAGAGGCCTGCTAGTTTGGCAGCATTAGCCCCAGCTTCTGGGATGGAAGAAAAGGAGGCCAGGCTAACCTTCCCCCCTACAGACGAGATCAAAAGGGTCCTTAGCTGGTGAATGTGACTCAGACTCAGCTGTCACTTACTGTCGAGTCAGTCCCAGCTCACAGCAACCCTCCATCAGTGTTCTCAGGGGATAAATGGAAAGGGGAGGGGACCGCCCATCTCCTTGTTCCTCAGCAGCTAGTGGATTTGCACTACTGGACACAGCACTCTCTCCCGGATGTATGTGAGGAGTCTGTAAGATCAGCTCAGTGAGACATTTGTCCCTTTCAGAAGGTGAAAGGTTGGCACGCCAATTCCTGTCCTCTGCCTCTTTTAAGAAGTGGTGAGTTTCAGGTCGTCTAACTGCATTTGTTACCAGCCTTCTGGCTTCCCAGACTTTTCTCCCTTTGCAGCATGATGCCCAGATGGACTACTACGGCACCCGATTGGCAACCTGCTCGTCAGACAGATCTGTCAAAATTTTCGACGTCCGCAACGGGGGACAGATCCTTATTGCTGACCTCAGGGGGTGAGTGTGGCCAACCCTAGGGAAGGTGTCCGAGACTCATTTGTCTTCTGAAACCTACCCTCAAGTCTAGGAGGAAAGATGAGAACTCAGTTCAGGGTAACCTCTCAAGATGTTTAGCAGAGATGACCTGTGGGCTCCAGGTCTGCAGAGTGGTGTGGTCAGGGGCACAGGCACAGCCAGGGGTGAATTCAGGCCTGCTCTGCTCTGCAGAGACTCACCAGAAGACCTAGGGAAGGAGCCCATTACCTCTCTAAGCTTGATCAGCTCCACCACAAGATGGAGCTAGTGGGCCCTCCTGCCCAGGTTGTTGTTATGTGCCCTTGTGACCCTATGCACAAGAGCTCTGAACCCTGCCCTATCCTGAGCCAATCTCACTGTCTCTGACACACCTGCCTATTACCTCAGTCACTGTGTCATCAGTCCATCTCATGCAGGGTCTTCCTCTCCAGCACTGTCCCTCCACCCTTCCAAGCATGATGTCCTTCTCCAGGGACTGTTCCCTCTGGCAACATGCCCAAAGTATGTGAATAGACATGTTTGTTTTCTTGGCTCTCCATAATATGTTCAGCACTCTTCTCTAGCACTACAACTCAAAGGCATAGTTCTTCATCTGTCATCCTTATCCAGTTCTCTGATGCATAGCAAGTAATTGCAAAGACCAAGGCCTGGATTGGGCTCACCTTAGTCTCCAGTCTGACATCCTTGCTCTTCACTCTTGAGCGTTCCCTGGATTTTCCCAGTCCAGTTCATCCTTTCATTTCCTGACAGCTAGTGCCAAAATTGTTGATTGTGGAACCAAGCAAGCTAAAATTGTTGACAATCTCAATCTCTTATCCATCTGACATGATGCTGCCACCTGGCCCAGGGGTGAGAATCTTTCTTTTATTAATGTTGAACTTCAATCCATATTGGAGACTGCAGTCCTTGACCTTCTGCAACAAATGCCAAACAGCTAAAGCTTTTAAACTGGGTTCTCTTGTGGTTCCATGGATAGAATTGAGAGGTAGGTTAACTGAAGTGAGGAGGAAAAAATATCACTTCTTTGTTTTCAGTGACTCTGAAATGTAACATGTCCTTCTATTATGGGTGTTGGCAAGAAACCAGTCATAATTATGGTAGTTGTCACCTTGATACCAATAGAAGTCATGTTTCTAACATCATTTTTACTTATTTATACTTTGAAATTATAGTAATTATTGAACTGCTACTACAGCTTGTAATTTAATTTATTCATAAAAATTCAAGTTTATCCCTGTTAGTGTAATCTTTTTTATATATAATAAAATTTTTTACTTTAATTGTGATTTTAACTTTTAAACAGTCCTTTTCTTCATCTATTCCAGTGCAGTGTTCATTATCTATTCACTCTTATCCTGTTCTCCTCCCAAACCCTCATCTCATCTTTTTTTTAATGTAACTATTTCAAAAGATCAGGAGATGTATTGCACTGGGAAAATCTGCAGTCAAGGACCTCTCCAAATTGTTGACGAGCAGTGATGTCATTTTGACAACTAAGGTGTACCCAATTCAGGCCATGGTCTTTTCAGGCACTTACTATACATCTGAGAGCTGGACAATGAGTAAGGATGAAGGAAGAAGAATTGACACCTTTGAGCTGTGGTGTTGGAGAAGACTTCTGGCTATCCCATTGACTGCCAAAAGAACAAACAAATAATGTCTTGGAAAAAATAAGCCAGAGAGCTCCTTGGAGGAAAGATGATAAAGCTTCATCTCACATACTTTGGGCATATTGCTAGGAGACGCTATTCCTTGGAGACACTATTCCTTGGAGACAGACATCATGCTTGGGAAAGTGAAGAATCAGTGAAAGAGGAAAACCCTCACACAGACTCATTGACACAGTGACTGCTGTGATGGACTCAGATGTGTCAGAAAGTGTGAGGATGGCACAGTATAGGAGAGCGTTCAGATCTTTTGTTCACATAGGGTCACTGTGGATCATCCTCAACTCCATGCCACCTAACAACAGCATAACTATTTCAATATAATAAGATTTTCTTTATAATTCTAGTTTTGTATGCACCCATTCCTCACCTAGTTACATAGTCACAAAGCTAGGTCTCAGAGACCAGGTGTAACATGAGTGGTGGTATTGTTAGGTGCCATCAAGTCACCTGCGACTCATAGCAACCTGTGTACAATATCTCTAAACCCTATGCTATCCTGAGCAAGTCTCACTGTCTCAGATACACCTGCCCCATTACCCCAGTTACTCTATCAATCCATCTCATCTGGGGTCATCTTCTCTTGTACTGCTGTCCCTCACCCTTCCAAGCATGATGACCTTCTCCAAGGACTGATCCCTCCTGGCCACTTACCCCAAGTATGTGAGACAGAGTTTTTAAATCCTTGCCTTGAAGGAGGAACTTGGTTTCACCCTCTCCAGGACAGACCTGTTTGTTCTCTCAGCAGTCCATGGTGTGTTCAGTACTCTCCTCCAGCACCATAAATCAAAAGCATCAATTCTTTTGTCACCCTTAGTCACTGTCCAGCTCTCTGATGTATAGCAGATAATTGAGAAAACCGTGGCCTGGATCAGGCTCACTTAGGCTAGACTGACATTATTGTTCTTTAGCACTCTGAAGAGGTCCTTGACAGCAGATTTCTGTAATGCAGTTTGTCTTTCTGAGTGCTAGTGCCAAAAGAGTTAATTATGGAGCCGAGCAAGCTGAAATTGTTAACAATCTCAAATATAATGATAGTAGCAGATGAGATTTACTGATTCCCTGTGGTAAATTCAGATGTGCTGAGAAGACAAAGCTGGATAAAGCCAGGCTGTGGGGCTAGAGGGTCAGTGCTATAGCCATTTCACCTCCCCTGTGCTGGGTCAGAGCCCATTCCCATTCCAAACACCCAGCATACAAGCTTCAGAGCCTAGAATGCCCTCTGGCACCTGGAGCTTCCTCCAAAGATGCCAGGAGCCCGCCTAGGAAAGTAGGCCTACCAAAGCTTTGTTCTCATTTTGTGCTATGCTGAAACTTGCACTCATTTGAGATGCCCTCTCCAGTGCCTCTTCTTCCTCCACTTTCTACCTCCAACAGTTTTGAGCTGATGGGCCTCAGACTGTGGAGGACCTGAGTATCTAGAACATCTGTGCTACTACTGTCTGTGTGTCTGTGCAGAAGGTGTGGCCACTAAGCAGGCTGGCCTGATGTGGCAGGTGGACACCATGCACTCACCAGCAGGAAGGAACAGAGGGCTTTGAGACAGTGCAATCTAGCTTCTCAGAGCACTGCTCAACACACCCTCTCAGAAGGAGGGGTTGCATTACAACTGTTGCTGCCCTGCCTACTACCTTATTAATGTGCAAAATTGTCAGACTTTCTGCCATTGTCCTGACTGAGAAATGTTAGGTAATAGGGTAGTGAGTGACAAGTGATAGCAAGTGTCACTCAAGAGCATTAATGTAAGAATACTATATTTTATCCACTATTCTGGACTTTATTTTATTATTTGTGTGTGTGTGTGTGTGTACCGTCAAATCAGATCTGACTGGTACAGGAGAGATTGTCCCTCCTTTCCCAGCAGAGCATCTGGTGGATTCGAACCATGCTCCTCTGGGATTGCAGTGCAGCTTCTTGTCACTAGGCCACCAGAGCTCCCCGTCTGGACTTTACAGAATAACTTTCATCACACTGCTCAAAAGAACCCCTGGCAAGTCCATTTCCAGTGCATGTTTGTTTACTGAGTAAAGTCAGTAGCCATTTAAGGAAACAGCATATATAGGTTACCTTTTTAGTTTGTCAGGTGTCTAGTGACCAAGAATCCCCTTGCTGAAACCTGCTGGAGTTAGGCCTGGTTGCCAGTCTGGCTGAGACAGTCATGTTTGCTGCGACTTGGTCCTTTCTGCTCTGCCTTTGTTATGCTCAAAGGATGTAAAATACTGGAAGGATAAAATATCTGTACCCCATTCTTTTCTGCCCTGGTTAAAACTTTGCTAGTTTTTGGAAGTTTGAGTCTTCACAATTTGCCGTCAAGTCAGTACTATTTATAGCAACCCTATAAACAACAGATCTGACCCCTGTTCTGTCTTGTGCCAACCTCACAATTTCTGCCACACTCGAACCCATTGCTGCAGTTACCATATCAGTTTAACTGATTGAGAGTCTTGTCTCCTTTGCCATCTCTCCACCTTTCCAAGCATGGTGTCCTTCTAAGAATTAACAAGAAATGCCACAGTAGATGAGTTTAGCAAACATACTTCTTTTTTCACTGTTTAAAAGGCTAGAAATCCAAAATCAGAACACCAGCTCTAAAGGACAGCTTCCTCTCTGTCCACTCTAGTGAATCTGGTTCTTTTTTCCTTGTATCCTATGTAGGCTGGTCCCCCTTGGAGATCTGCAGGTGTCTTGGCACCAGTGTTCCCCTCGGTCTCAGATTCTCAGTACAAGAACCCCAGGTCCAAACAGCGTAGTCCAACCCTGGTTCTTCTTTCTTGGTGGTGCTGAAGGCCCTTCATTTCTCATTTCTTTTTCCTTTTATCTCTTAGGAAAGAAAAGATGATTAGAGTTCATGTCCTAGAGAAACTCCCCTAATCCCCTTCCATCTGATTGGCTCACTACATTATTACACCATCACTGAGAGTCACAACTTGGCCAAGTTGACAGTGTCTTAGAAGGACACATAAAAAGATACACTTCATTTCTAGGTCAGTGTAAGAGCTCGGGCTCCTAACCATTCCCTCCTGTGGGCTGTCGACCCTTCCCTGGATGAGAGAAAGATTCCTGTGCAAAGCCTAGCACAGAGTAGATATTTGTGGTTGTTAGGTGCTCTCAGCTACAGCTTGTAGTGCCCTGTTGTTACATGCCATAGGGACCTTGTGAGCAATGGATCTGAACAGTGCCTATCCTGTGCTGTCCTCATCATCTCTAATATACTCCAGCCCATTGTTAGGGTCACTGTGTCAATCCCCTCCCTAAGGAGCTTCCTCTCTTTGACTGACCTTTCCAAGCATGATAACTTTTTTCTCAATATTGAACTCTTAACAACATGCCCAGAGTTTGTGAAATGCTGCTGACACCGTCCTTGCCGCTAAGGAGCACCCTGGCTCTACTTCCTCCAAGACAGACCTGTTTGCTCTTTTGACAGTTCATAGCATATTCAGTACTCTTCTCCAACACCACAACTTGAAGGGCTGATTGCTCTTCTGTTATTCTTTGTCATTATGCACTTTTAAAATGCATAGCAAGTAATTTAAAAGATCATGGCTTGGAGCAGGTGCACCTTAGTCTTTAAATTGACACTGTTGCTCTTTAGTACTTTGGAAAGGTCCTTGACAGCAGATTTTCCCAATGCCACACATCTTTTTTGAGTTCTTGACTGCTTATACCAAAGATGTTGGTTGTAAATCCACATAAGATGAAATCATTGACAATTTCAGTCTTTTCTCCATCTGTTACAGTGTTGCCTGTTGGTCCAGTGGTGAGAATTTTTGTTTTCTTGATGTTGAAATGTAATCCTTATTGAAGATTTTAGCAAGCATTTTTTTTTTTCATTTTTATTTTATTATTTTTGTGTGAGTGTACCGTCAAATCAGATCTGACTGGTACAGGAGGAGATTGTCCCTCCTTCCCCGGCAGAGCATCTGGTGGATTCGAACCATGCGCCTCTGGGATTGTAGTTGCAGCACCAGAGCTCCCCTTTTAGCAAGCATTTTAAGTCCTCCTCTCTTTCAGCAAGAAAGATTGTGTCATCTACACAACACGGGTTACTGATGAGTTCTCCATTCCTCATGCTATATTCTTCATAAAGCCCAACTTCTCAAATGATTTGTTCAGCATGTAGAAACAGGATTGGTCCTGACACATGCCTTTCTTGATTTTTAAACCATACAGTGTTCCCATGTTCTATTCAGACAACACCTTGTAGGTTTAAGTGTTGCATGAGCACAAGTAAGTATTCTGGGATTCCCATTCTTCCCACTGTTAGCCATCATTTGTTGTAATGTATGTAGTTAAATGCCTTTGCATAGTCAATAAAACACAGACAGCCTTCTGGTATTCTCTGCTTTCAACCAAGGTCATCTGACAGTGCCAGTGATGTCCCTGTGAACAATCATTTGGAACCTTGCCCTAGTGTCTTGTTCACAGTCTCCACCCTGTGCCACCCATTGTTACTCCCTCAGTCTATCTCATTGAGGGTCTTCCTCTTGCTGACTCCCTGCTTTTTCCACTGTGATGTCTTTTTCCAAGGACAAGGCCCCTCTTGACATGCTCAAAATATGTGAGACAAAGTTTAACCATCCTTGCCTCTAAGGATGTTTAGCTCCCAGATTGCACATCATGCAGGAAACATTTGTTTGTTCTTTTGGCAATCCATGGTACATTTGATACTGTTCACCAAAATAACAATTTGAAGGGTTATTGATGAGTCTGTGTTTGTCAGATGACTGGGTAAAGAGCAGTTTCTAAACTTTTCAAAGTTTAGAAAGCTTAAAAAATATGAAAATTAGACAGATACTACTTTTTCAGGAAGTTAACTGTGGAAGGAGGTAATATTTCCATCTACAAAGACCTAGTGAGCATGTGTTGGTTCCAGACCCTAGATCAAGGAACACCAAAGAAGGCCTGTGCCTGGCTGGGTCAGGGTCATAGGCTTACAGAATGAGGGGTCAGGGTGGTAGGCTTAGAGGCTGAGTCCCTCGCCCTCCCTCCTGGGACTCTCAAGCTGTTCTGTCCTGAGAGACTGTGTCCACTGAGAATGCCCTTCAGCTCTGTCCAGGCAGCGCCTGGCAGAGCACTGAGGACCCCTCTTCTCCTCCTGCAGCCATGAGGGCCCTGTGTGGCAGGTGGCCTGGGCACACCCCATGTATGGCAACGTCTTGGCCTCCTGCTCGTATGACCGCAAAGTCATCATCTGGAAGGAGGAAAATGGCACCTGGGAGAAGACTCATGAGCACACAGGCCATGACTCCTCAGGTACCAGTCCCGGGGGCGGGCGGGCCAGGAGCCCCTCATGGCGGACACTGTCCTGTGAAGTCTTGGCTCAGGCCTCCCCATAGTACTGCTTGTTTCTCCTTGGGGCTTTGGCTGGCTATTCAGCTGGTTTGTCTACAGCCAGGTTTGGGCTCCAGACCTGAAGCCAGTCCACCGCAGGATGAGAAAAGCACACACAACTCAGCTAGTCTTTCTTAAGGCTAAATAGGCTAAATATATTCTACTACTGACCTTTGATTCTCAGAGTGTGATTCTTGTCACTTTTTTGTTATGACAGACTTTAATTTATGGAACAATGATGATAGTAGGAAGTGTTAGGATTGTTAAAATTTAGTTGTTTGTAGTCCCTACAGTTGTTTTGGGTTGTTTTTGTTTTTGTTTTTTTTAATGTAAATGGTAAATGGGAGAAATCAAACTGTAACCCTCTGGGCTGTGCTCTGCCTGCCCACGTGCCCCCTCCTGCCTGCAGTGAACTCCGTCTGCTGGGCACCGCATGACTTCGGCCTGATCCTTGCCTGTGGGAGCTCTGATGGGGCCATCTCCCTGCTGACCTACACCGGCGAGGGCCAGTGGGACGTGAAGAAGATCAGCAATGCCCACACGGTGAGTGAGGTGCTTTCTGCCTGCAGAGGATCCCTGTTACCTGGCCTTGGGTTGACTGTACACACCCAGGAGTGGCAGGGAGGGCTTCCTGCTGTGCATGCCACAGGAGGGGCCGCAGAGGGAATGATAGTGGCTGGCAGGGTGGGCTTCCTGCTGGGCACGTGGCAGGAGGGGCCAAGGAGGGAATGACAGTGGCTGGCAGGGTGGGCTTCCTGCTGCGCATGTGGCAGGAGGGACTGGCAGTACTGCCTGCGCAGTGAAGGGCTCATTCTAGCTTATGAGGAGGCCATTGAGGCTTAAAGGAAGGCAATTGCTTCAGAAGATGCTTTGCTGGTATTCAGGACTACTATCTTGGCAGGTAGTCCCAGCCATGGAGGGTCCCAACACTTCTGAGATTTAAACACAGTAGCCCCAATTCTTGCCTGTGTGCTTTTGTAGTTCTTCCATCTGGGGGAATCTAGTAAAAGAATCTGTCCAGCCCTCAAGAGAGTAGTATCTCATTATGGTTTTGATTTGCATTTTCCTAATGAGGCCCTGGATAACATAAATATTAAATATTTTCAGCTGAAAAGTTAGTCATTTGGGCTTTCCCAGAGGCTCCTTAGAAGACAAGTGTAGTGATAGCTTCCAGCAAGTCACAGAAGAGAAGTGTGGCCCTCATGGCCCACAAGCCTGCCTTCTAGTATTGGGTACTTTATGAGGAGAAACTGCTGAGAGGGAAATCAAGTTTAACCTAGTAGAGTCAGAGAGGAAAGAGAGGATGTGGACCACAGTGGAGGAGAGGGACTGAACCAGGCAACCCAAGTAAGCAGCCTGCCCTTCTAAACGTTATTGACCTTACTGTATCAGGAAAACTAATTCCACATGAAAATAACCAATAAAAGGTAGAATCACATATAAAGTTATAAGAAAGAAAGGATAAACAGAATATCCTGTGTCCCCTCTCAACACATGTGTGTAATAATCCTTCGTAATGAGTGGGTTCAGGGTGGGTTGAAATGCCCATTAGTAACTACATTGCGGCCCTGATCCAATGTGGGGTCATTTTCCCTGGGGTGTGGTCTGTACGCCTTTTATCTCACGGGAGGGGGGAGAGTTGAGACAAGAGGGCAAACCTCAGTACCACTAAAAATGCCAGGAGGGGGTGTGCTTTGGGGTTTGGATCCAAAGCACTAGGAAGCTCCTTGACATCAGGGAAGGCCGGTGCATATGAGGTTCTCCACAGGTGTTACAGGAAATGGGCCTTCCCCTAGAGCTGCTGCCCCAAACGCAGATGTCTCCTCTCTAGCCTCCTACACTGTAAGAAGGACGCTCTGGTGGTGTGGTCCTCACGGAATGGTACTGCTGACCCAGAGGACCACCCCCTCCCCAGCATCTCAAGTCCACCAGTGGCTCTCAGGCACTTTACAGCCTAAGAAGCTGTAAAGCGGGAGGGTAAGCAGTGAGAGTGAGAGGCTATAAGAGAAGAGCCATCCACTTGTGAAATCTGTTACAGCAGCACTAGGTGACAAGTGAACGGATGAGCAGCTGTATTCATATGTGAAACTACTTCCGTTCACCAATAAGATCACACCATTATTTCTTTAACAATAGCAGTGAATTTTAAGATAATGATGGGTTCAGAACTGCTGTACATAGGGTCACTCTGCATTGCAGGTGACTCAACCTTTGGAAGCAAGAGTGGCATCCACTTCCTAAACAACATGCCTCTAGAAACTATGACGGACTTGAGGCCTTTTGTTCACAAAGTCACTATGAGTCATGCCTGACTAGAAGGTGATCAACAACATGCTGAAAAAGTCAGAAAGGTCTATACTCTAAATCTACTGGTAGAACATTCTAGAAAATGTTAATTAGACTTTAATTGCAGAAAATGAATCAGTGTTTGCTAGGTTTTGGATGGGTAGCGTGTGGAGAAATGGACTGCAGAGGAGCAGGAGAAAACTTTCAGAGGATTGGATGGGCTTATTATCTGGATTGTAGTGATGGTTTCACAGAATTCACCCAGATTCACCCAGTCATATGCCCTATATGCAGTTAGTTTGTGTCAATTATACCCCAAAGCTGTTTTTTAAAAATTACTTTGAAATTGAAATAACACAAACTGTTACAAATATACAAGAACTCAAGGACTATTATTCCAGGCAACCTTCCTAAAAGTATCTACAAGAGAACATGCTTCAGGCAATAAAATTGTTTGGAATAACTAACAGTAACATTGTTTTGGTGGTGTTATTTGCTCTCAAGTCCCTGTAACTCATAATGACTCTATGTACAGTAGCTCTGAAACCTGCTCTGTCCTGAGCCAATCTTATTGTCTCTGACACACCTACCCACATTACCTCAGTCATTGAATCAGTCCATCTCATTGAGAGTTTTTCCTCTCCAGCACTGTCCCTTCACCCTTCCAAACATGATGTCCTTCTCCAAGGACTAATCCTTCCTTGCAACATTCCCAAAGTATGTCACTCAGAGCTTCAGAATCCTTGCCTCCAAGGAGCAGCCTGGCTTCACCCTCTCCGGGACAAACCGGTTCTCCTGACAGTCCATGGTAAATCCAGTACTATTCTCCAGCACCACAACTCAAAGGCATCAATTCTTCTGTCATACCTAGTCATTTGGCCCAGCTTTCTGGTGCATAGAAAGTAATTGCGAAGACCATGACCTGAATCAGGCATACCTTAGTCTCCATATGGACATCATTGCTCTTTACTACTCTGGAGAGGTCCCTGACAGCAGATTTCCCAGTGCAATTTGTCTTTTGATTTCCTAACTACTGGTACTAAGAGTATTGATTGTGGAGCCAAGCAAACTGAAGCTATCTGTTAACAACCTCAATCTCTCCACTGTCTGTCATAATGCTGGCAATTGGCCCAGTGGTGAGAATCTTTGTTTTCTTGATGTTGAGTTTCAATCTATACTGAAGGCCGCAGTCCTTGACCTTCTGCAGCAGGTGATTCAGGTCCTTCTCCGTTTCAGCAAGCAGGCTTATGTTATCTGCATAATGCAGATTGTTGATGAGTCTTCCTCCAGTCCTGATGTCACGTTCCTCCTCATAGAGCCAAGCCTCCTGGATATAATCTCCACATATAGATTGAAAAGGGGTGTGTGTATATATACATACATACACCCATACACAGAGTAACATAGATGTATATAAAAGTCACTCTACCAAACAAAACTGGCTGACAAAGAATTCCATGAAAAAAACATATGGTCAAGAGGCAGTGGTGATGAAGGAGGAATTTCAAGCCTCTCTGAAGGAATTGGCAAAAAACAAAGCCCCAGGAGTTGATGGAATACCAACTGACATATTTCAGCATATTTCAGGATGCTGCCCTGGACATGCTTAACAGCTTGTGCCAGGAAATCAGGAGCACAACTGCCTGGCCAATTGATAGAAAGAGATCTACATATATTCCTATTCTAAAAAAAGTGATCCAACAGGATGTGGAAATTGTTGAACAATATCACACCTACAAGCAAAATCATCCTGCTAAAGATTATCCAGAAATGACTGGAACAGTACATTGGCAAATAATTACCAAAAATACAAGCTGGGTTTAGAAGGCTGTGGTGCTAAGACCTCATAGCCAATGTCAGATGAATCTTAGCTTAAAGCAGAGAGAACCAGAAGAATGTCTGTGTTTCATGGACTGTGCAAAAACATTTGACTGTGTAGATCACAAAACTGTGGCTAACCTTGAGGGGAATGGGAATCCCAGAACACCTGATTGTGCTCATGCAAAACCAGTACTTGGACCAGGAAGTAGTTATCAGAACAGAGGAAGGAAACACTTGTTGTTGTTGTTATGTGCCGTCGAGTCGCTTGCGACTCATAGCAACCCTGTGTACAACAGCTCTAAACTCTGCTCTGTCCAATCTCATTGTCTCCGACACATTCATCCCTATTGCCCCAGTCACCAAATCAATCCACCTCCCAGAGGGCCTTCCCCTCCTGCACCTGCCCTCCACCCTCCCAAGCATGATGTCCCTCTCCAAGGACCAATCCCTCCTTACAACATGAACAAAGTATGTCGGACAAAGCCTCAAAATCCTTGCCTCCAAGGAGCAGCCCAGTTTAACCCTCTCCGGGATGAATCTGTTTTCTTAGCAGTCCATGGCACCCTCAGCACTCTCTCCAACACCAAAGCTCAAAAGCATCAATTCTCCTTCTATCCACCCTGGTCATTGTCCAACTCTCCAACGCATAAAAAGTGATTGCAAGGACCATGGCCTGTACCAGACACACATTAGTCTCCAGAGACACACCGTTGCTTTTCAGTACTTTAGAGAGGTCCCTAACAGCAGACTTTCCCATTGCAATACGTCTTTTAATTTCCTGGCTGCTGGTGTGATTCAAAATCAGGAAAGGTGTGCATCAGGGATGCATCTTGACTCCAAACCTTTTCAATCATTGAACAGATCATTGTGGAACAGATCATTCAGGAGACTACACTTTGTGAGGAGGAATGTGGCATCAAGATTGGAGGAAGACTTATCAACAACCTACATTATTTAGATGACACAACCTTGCTTGCCAAAACTGAGGAGGGCTTGAAGCATTTGCTGCAGAATGTCAAGGACTGCAGTCTTCAATATGGATTGAAACTCAACTTCAAGAAGACAAAGATTCTCACCACCAGTTGACAGCACCATGATAGATATAAAGGAGATTGAGATTAACAATTTCCACTTGCTTGGTTCCACAGTTTAGCACCAGCAGTCAGGAGATCAAAAGATGAATTACATTGAGAAAATGCCATCAGAGATCTCTCCAGAGTACGAAAGAGCAACAGTGTCAGTCTAGAGACTAAGTTGCACCTGATTCAGGTCATGGTCTTTCCCATTACTTGCTGTGCATCAGAGCTGGACAGTGATTAAGGAAGACATAAGAATCTATGTCTTTGAGTTGTGCTGGAGAGGTTGAATCCAAGTTGCTTCTTGGGAGACAAGGATTTTGAAGTGCCATCTGATATACTTTGGCATGTTGCCAGGAGAGACCAGTCCTTGTAGAAGTGTATCATGTTTGGAAGGGTGGAGGAATAGTACAGGAAAGGGAGAACCCTGGAGGATATGGATTTACACAGTGACTGGGGTGTGTGTATGTTAGAGACAATGAGATTGGTTCAGGATAGGGAGGTTTTCAGAGCTGTTGTACATAGGGTCACGATGGGTCACAGGCAACTCAACAAAAAGTAAGAGTAACAATTACTTATAGATAACTCTCTTCGTTATCTGGTAGGATTATAAGCAAAACTTGCACAAGTGGGGAATCATGCACATCAGCACACTGGCTCTTAGGAAGGGTCCCTCCTTGTTAGTAGCCCCAAGAGTTAGCTTTCTTTGATCTCTCCTGCTCTTTTTAGAACTCCAAGGTGATTAGGGTTAGGACCCATCCTACTCTGATATGATATCATTAATGTAACAAAAGAAAAACATGTTTCCACACAAGCTGGTATCCACAGGTAGAGGGGCCAGGATTTCAATACCTGTTTGGAGGACACAGTTTAGTCCATAACAAGAACAAATACTTGAATAGAGGTACAAAGCTGGTTGTCATTTTAGTGGCCTTGTGCTCTGCTGTGGTGGTGCGCAATTCTGTTCTCAATACTGTCTTAAGGCAGTTCTCATGTAAATCACGTACCTCTCTTTTGCCTATTAGTATTTTTATAAATTCAATCATTATTTGTCTTTAGGGGTTGGAAACAGAAACTTAGGTCTTCCATGTCAATAGTTCCTGCTTTTCCAATTGTACAACCCAAAGCTGGACAGTCATCACTCAGATGCATTGTGAGCCAGTGACTCCCTGTGTTACAGTTGAGAAAGAGGAGAGCACTTACAAACCACTCTATTTTCCATAATCATGTTGGCAACAGTAGTGTTGTCCTGAGACTGTTGTGTGTGCAGTTCTCTAAGTAAGCCTGTGGCGGTGAGCCATGTATCATCTATGAGCTAGATTATTGTTTGGAAGTACAATGTATTACCAAAAGAAACCAGGTTTTCTCCTAGTCCATCTTAGTCTGGAAACTCCACTGCAGTCGGTTCCCATCATAGTGGTTGCCAGACCTCCCTGAGTAGTGGATGATGGCATGCTGCAGATGCCAGGAAGTGAAGAAGGGTCTACACAGAAAAGGAGGCCTTGGACCACTAGACCACCACACGCCTGGTGGATTGCCCAAGGAGTGGTACAAGAGTGCTTTACATAACTCATTAAGCTATAAGGATATGTTGTATGGTTTTCTGAATGCACTCTCCTCTATAATAATAATACAAAAGGTGACCCTGTGTGCCCTGCTTTCATACATTTGAAAAATATTATATCACCAACTCCTGAGAGAATTCCTAACTCCTACTTTAGTTGTGTTCTACTGAAAAACACACTGATAGAAATACTTGTGGAGGATGGTGAGTGCAATCAGTTTCCCTGTAATGCAGTCCTGGAACTACAAAGGAGCTAGACCCAAGCCATGGTGTGCAGCAGCCCAGTGTCTTGCTGCAGGGACTAGCAAAGTCACGTCCCCTCTTTACAGATCGGCTGCAATGCTGTCAGCTGGGCACCTGCAGTTGTGCCCGGAAACCTCATAGACCAACCATCAGGACAGAAACCCAACTACATCAAGAAGTTTGCGTCTGGTGGCTGTGATAATCTTATCAAGCTGTGGAAGTAAGTGCATTTGTATGGACACCTCAAAAGGGTACCCTTCTCACCACCTGCCTCAGCCACACTTGAATATTCTTTCTTTTTCCCTCCTGTCAGTAAAATGTATCCAAGAAGAGCCTCTTCTTAAAAAAAATAACACTTGCCCTGTGTCTGAGCATGGGAGTTGCTGTTCCCCTAGCTCGCTCGCATTGGCTGGGGATGTGGGAACAAAGCTTCTCTGAGGTGCCTTTGTAGCTGGTGAGCTGGATAAAATGGCTCGACAGTTCAAGTCAAAAACTGGGACTGCTGCCTGCTGGGTAACCCCTTGTTCTCCCTGGCAGGGAAGAGGAGGACGGCCAGTGGAAAGAGGAGCAGAAGCTGGAAGCACACAGTGACTGGGTTCGAGACGTGGCCTGGGCCCCCTCCATTGGTCTGCCAACCAGCGTCATCGCCAGCTGCTCCCAGGTGAGCTCGGCCTGAGAAGCCTATGGAATTGCGTCTCTTAGGTGAAGCATTTAGAATCTCTCTGAGTTGGGAAGTCCTCTTAAAATGCAAGGATAGCAAGGGGCACATTAAGTACAGTACAGTCTAGGCTAGAAGCCACACTTGGCTGGCCGCCAGAGATAAAATGGTTACAGTTGAACTATCCCAGGGGAGGAGATCTATTCAAGGCCATGAGCTAGGAAATTCTGAGACTGTAAACTCTTCTCCTAACCCACACTGTCCATACAGAAATGAAACCAGGGTGAGCCTCTCATCCTCTGCTACCACCACCCTAGAAAAGAGTTGAATTAGGGTTTTTTTGTTTTATTTTTTTTAATTTATTTATTTATTTAATGTGTGTACCGTCAAATTGGATCTGACTGGTACAGGAGGCGATTGTCCTTCCTTCTTCAGCAGAGCATCTGGTAGATTTGAACCGTGCACCTCTGGGATTGCAGTGCAGTTTCCTGCCACTAGGCCACCAGAGCTCGCCTGAATTAGGGTTTTTGACTAAATTTGAGAGGTGTTACCTTACTCAATTACTTTTACTTTTTTTTTTTTTAACTTGCCCTCTTCTTATCTCTGAGCTCAGTTTTTAGATAACCATACTCATTCTGTTGACATCAAGAAAGATCTCGAGCAAGCAAGTGCTAGGCAGGTCTGAAGACAACTGTAGGGAAAGTGTGACTATTACCAATGCATCTGTGGTGGAGGGTTGGGGCTTGGCCAGTTCAGCATGTTCCTGGGGGCAAAGAGATAGGGATTGGTCATCAGGACTGTGGCAGCCGGAAGTCCTTGGCCATTCCTACACATGGTCACCTTTCTTGTTTGCAGCCAAATCCAGTATGACTCCAGGTTGGGAGGCTGTCACCAGTGGGGGAGCACCACTTCCCTCTCCTGATTTCATGTCTCTTCCAGGATGGGCGTGTCTTCATCTGGACCTGTGATGATGCGTCAGGCAGTACATGGTCCCCTAAACTGCTGCACAAGTTCAACGATGTGGTGTGGCACGTGAGCTGGTCCATCACGGCCAATATCCTGGCTGTCTCCGGTGGAGATAATAAGGTGCACCCATTTCCTGTGATGGTGGGCAGAGCCTGCTTGTCTTTACTCAGCCCACTGGAGGAGGCATTTGGCATTTGCATCAGGCTTGGGAAGAATTGCGTTTTCAGCGCACCTTGTGATTCTAGATAGACATCCTGAGAGACCATTTGTCCCTGTCTCATTGATAAGGGATAGAAGCTGGCCAGTGATTTACAGAAGGGCTACAGAGCTAGCAACAGGTCCAAGGCAACCAAAGCCATTAGCCGAGGGTCCATCATTAACCTTTTGGCTCCTTCATTTTAATGGTGATTTCCAGTTAAACCTGCTAAAAAGTAAGCATGCAAGAGCCCAAAGAAAGAAGGGGGCCTGCTGTCATAAATACACAGCATTTGTGAGTAGTTACTGTGTACCGACTTCTGTGTGCTTTATGCTGCTATGCTGTGGAGCCCATGCAGAAAGTGTAGTCACACAAAGCTTAACCCAGGACGGGACAGAGCATGAGAAGTTATGTGTTGCAAGCACTCCATTTGGAACCTGCTTGGTAAAGTTAGGGGCTCTGCCTCAGAGAAGTTGGCTGGCAAGTGGCTTTGTCCTTTTTCTCTGGGCAGCTTGTACTTCAGCCTACCTTGCTTTCTGCATTTCCAGAAAGAACCAGTGGTCCTATCTCAAAGGCTTGGAATTTTGGCACTGGAGTGGGCTTCAGGGACAGCTGACCTAGCCCTATTTGTTCATATGAGTGCTGGGTTGGGACTGACCCCCAGGACCTGACTCACACAGTCCTGCCATTGTATTTTCAAGACAGTAAGCAAGTGCTTACTTAATTCCCTGCTTCAGGTCTGCTGTTACTGGTTTTATGCTCCTGACTCCTTTGTTTTTCACAAAGCGCTTGTGGTGCTGCTCTTAGCACTCCTTTGCTTTTAAAGTACCAGGTAACTTCCCAGGAGCTCTGATGTTATAATCTATAGGGAGCTGAGCTGCTAGGCCCAACACAGCACCTGTGGGGGTTCAAATTCACTAGCTGCTCCTTGGGAGAAAGATGGTCACTCTCCTCCCATGCAATATATAGGCCCTGAAAACCTGCTGGAGGGTCAGCTCTGAGTTAGTTCTGACACTGAGTTTGAGTGTTTTGAGCTGAGGTATCTTCTCAACCCCAGACCATCCCACACAAAGCAGGCCTAGTAAACAAAGTCAGTTTGTGAAGCAGGAGCTCACATGCACACAGCTTTAGGCAGGTTATTATTTTTTAAATGCAATCCCCTAATCCTCTGTTCAGGGACAAACTTTTCCACTCTCAGATGTTTGTGTGGAGGCGGATCACACACTGAGCTTCAGTCTTCCCCAGCTGCAGTCGCTCTTACATGCTCCCAGGGTTAAATTTGTGATGACATTCAGCTACCCCACCCCCAGATTTCTGAATTAGCAGATCTGGACTTTGAGCTCGAGAATGTGCACTTTTGCAAGGTGCATGGCGGAGAGGTAGAGCTGTATCAAGTTAAAACAGCCTCTATACATGGATTGTTCACAGAATTTACACCTCTCAGCTGCTGTGACTTATCACTTCCTTTTTTCTTCATGTGCGTTCATTTCAATGGGAACCTAGGTGAGGTGCTGTGCAGAGGCCCTCAGTGGTGGTCCAGCCCAACAGAGAGGAACAGTGGGCCCCTAACAGCTGTATGTGCTTGGCTTGCAGGTGACCTTGTGGAAGGAGTCAGTAGATGGACAGTGGATATGCATCAGTGATGTGAACAAAGGCCAGGGGTCCGTGTCCACCTCTGTCACAGAGGGCCAGCAGAATGAGCAGTGAAGGACAGGCAGGGCTGGCTCCCTACCTGCAAATTGCAGGCCTGCCTCTGCCGGGAAACCCAGCTAGGCCACCAAGGAGCAGTTCTGCCACCTCAAAAAGGTTGGCCCAGGCATAGTTCCAGGTCAGCTCCAGTGTGATCAACTGCCTTAATGTAATTGAGTGTTGCTTATAATTTACGCTCCAGCGGAAAGCATTCATGTTACAGAGAAAACTCTTATGATCTTCAAATCTATTGTTTTAAAGTATATTTTGGCCATTTTTATGTGTTTTGGGCTCAGGCATTTTGGGAGTTTTGTTTCCAAAGTAAATGAATAAAATCATATTGCTTATAAGTCTTGCTGTGTTGCCCAAATGCCTGACTCGCTTTTGTTCTTGTTGGTCAGGGTTTCTAGTTCGTGAACAGCTGCATTAGATGATGCACAGCAGGTCACAGCCCAGTACTGTGCTAACCACACCCTGAGCTGGTCTGGCCCTGTGAAAACCCTCACCCTCACTCCTGGTGCTCACCCTTTCCTGTCACGGTTGGTGTGTTCTCATGGACCACCTGCCCTTGTACACCTGCGTACTCAGGTTTCTGCCTCACAGACTTCTGCAAGATAATGCGTCAATTTACAGGGGTGCAGATCCTCCCCACAAGCCCAGGCCTCATGAATCAGATGTTTAACCTGTTCCCAAATCAGCTCCAGAGCTCCTGCTGAATAGGGTCCAGACTGAGCAATAGTTTCATTCCTCCAAAGCCTGTGTGAGGCAGAGTCCACAGCCCCTGAAGACAAACAATCTCTAGTTCAAGTCTTTGGCATGTAGGAAGTGCTCTAGACCAGAAGCTGAGGGCTTTTATAACCATAACAAATTGGAACATAACTTCCGTTCTGTGCTGTGGCCAGTTAAGGAATGTTGGAGACAGGGACACAACCTTGACCAAGTAGTTAACACATGTTTCTAGGGGCCCAACTCCAAGGGCCTAGTTTAATCCTCAAAACCCTGGCAACTATCATCCTAAGACCCAGAACTGTATTGTGGTAGTCTGCTCACCAAAAGGCCACACTTTAGTGGTTCATAGCTGCCAGAGGCACAAGAGAGACAGATGGGCCTCTCTCTGTGAAGATTTACCACTTTGGAAGCATAATGGAGAATCCCCATGGGGACCTTGCCAAGTGAAGGCTCAGGAACATCTTGATAGAAAGTGGCAGAAGGAGGAAGCCACCCTGAACTGGAAGGAGGGATTGTTTCAGCATCTGGCAGCTATTTAAATGCTGAATAGGAGATCAACCATCTCCTTCACAGATCTGGCCCATGGATTAGATTGTATAAAGGTTGAAACCCAACACCAAGTTTAAAATACAGCACAGAAAGCACATACAGCTTCACATACCTTGAGACTCCACTGCCTTCAGTGAACTCAAACTTCCAGAATCTGAGGCAGAATCTGTACCCACCACCCAGAGCACTGTGAGAGGAGCACTGGATGGTCCTTCCTCAGTGATGGGAGATGTGGCACTGACTCTCTTCATTCCTTTCTGTAGAACACACCAGTTTTTTCTCTGATGAGTTTTATGGTTTTAGGGATTACATTGAGGTCCCTGATCCATCTTGAGTTAGTCTTTGTATATGATGTGAGAGATGTCTTATTTCACTTTTTGCAAATATATGCCTGATTTTGTGACACCATTTATTTAATAGGCCGTCTTTCCCCACTTAATGAATTTCATCTCTTTGTCAGAGATCATTTGTCCGTTTAGAGTGAGGGTGTGTGTGATGTGCACCTCAACCCTTATGAACACTGTCAGTCCATCTCAAAGAGAGTCTTCCTCTGTCTTTTTGACGATCTTTCCCAGCATGCTGTCTGTTTTCCAAGGACTGACCCTTCCTGACATCATGGCTACCAAATATGAGACAGAGTTTCACCATCCTTGACTATAAGGAGCACTCTGGATGTACTATGTCTAAAACACATTTGTTTATTCTTTTGGCAGTCTGGAGAATATTCATTACTCCAACACCACAACTCAAAAGTATCCATCTTCAGGCTTGTTCATTCATTGTCCAACTTTCACATGCATAGAAGCAATGGAAGATGCCATGACTTGGGTCGGACACACTTTAGTCTTTAAACTGATATCCTTGCTCTTAAACACTTTGGGAAGATCCTTGACAGCAATTTTACCAAGAAAACATGTATTTTAATTTCTTGACTCCTGCTGCCATGGATAATGTTAAGAAGAATGGAAATCGCAGAACACCTCATTGCACTCAGGTTTGTCATAGAGTGGAACCAAGTTGCTTGTTGGAGGCAAGGATTTTTAAGCTCTGTCTGACATACTTTGGGCATGTTGCCGGGAGGGACAAGCCCCTAGAGAAGGACATCATGCTTGGAAGGACGGAGTGGCAGTGCAAGACAGGAAGACTCTGCATGAGATGGATTGACACAGTACCTGGGGTAATGAGGGTACGTGTGTCAGACAGATTGCCTCAAGATAGAACAGTATTCTGAGTTATTGTATCTATGAGTCTTAGGCACCTTGATGGCACATAACAACAACAACAATAGGATCTAAGTAAAATTAAATTGTTGATAACTTCAATATTTTCTCCATTTATCATGATGTTGTTGATGGTCAAGTGGTGAGGAATTTTGTTTTCTTGATGTTGAGGTGTAATCTATATTGAAGGCTTTGATCTTCTGTAGTAAATGCTTCAATCTTCTTTACTTTGTACAATCAAGATTGTCATCTGCATAATGCAGGCTCTTAAGGAATCTTCCTACAGTCCTGAACAGAAGAAGAAAACTTTGCATGGTTTAAAATCAGAAAAGGTGTTACAGAATTTATCTTTCAATATGGCTTTTCCAGAAGAATTGATGCCTTTTGAGTTGTGGTGCTGGAGAATAATATTGAACATATGTGGACCACCAAGAGAACAAATAGGTTTATCCTGGAGAGGGTGAAAACAGGCTGCTCCTTGGATGCAAGGATTTGGAAGCTCCATCTCACATACATTGGGCATGTGGCCAGGAGGGACCAATTCTCGGAGAAGGACATCATGCTTAGAAGGGTGGAAGGATAGCAAAAGAGCAGAAGACCCAGGATGAGATGGATTAACAGTAACTGGGGTAATGAGAGTAGGTGTGTCGGAGACAGTGAGTTTGCCTCAGGATAGAGCAGAATTCAGCACTATTGTACATGGGGTCACTGTGAGTCATAGGCAACTCAATGGCACGTAACAACAGCACCAACATGGCTTTTCTAGCATTATTCTAATGTGGATAACTGACCAATGTGGATTGGCAAGACTATGTGAATGGGCATGTTGGCTTATCTACCAGGGGACTGGCTAGTCTCAATGATGTACAAAAGGATTGGCTAGTCTTGCCAATAAACTGAAGATCTTTAGCTGCAGAGACAGAATCTTCCCCTACTACAAGAGATTATATCCATCCCAGCCAGAAGAGAAACCTCCCCCAAATTGGTGAAATGGGCATGCTTCAGTATGGTGGGGAGGGAGGGGAAGGTAAAGCCAGTATTGGCAGGACTGAGAAGTTAGGCACACTTCGAGCCACGAGGCTGGAGGCTGAGGTGCCCATGTGCCTATTTTGGGAGCTGTCTTCCCTGTATTCTGTTATTAATCTGAATTATAACAATTGACTTCTGTGTGGTCTGTGAGCTAACATCAGATTTTGGACCCACAAAAACAATAAGATTGGTGTTGATATGAGTAGAAAGAGATATGGGAGTGTGGGGAATATGTCAGACCTCATGGGAATTGGTTTTATGTTATTGATGCTGTGGACGGGGATAATTTCCCTCTGTAAAAATGGTAAAGGTCAGATACAGACTCACCACATGGCCCTTGCTCTTTTTACAGATGTGCATCAGGGCTGAATTCTTTCTCCATACCTAGTCAATCTTATGTTGAGCAAGAAATTCAAGAAGGCAGACTATATAAAGAAAGTGACATCAGGATTAGATAATTTGTATAATAATTTCCTTTCTTCTGGAGACCATAGGCTTTACTTACTATTCTTTTTCTAATTGTTAGAAATACTGCGTTAAGGTGTTAATTTGGTTCTTTTTGATGTGTTTATTGCTACAAATTAATCTCTGAGTACTGCTTTTGCTATATCTCAAAGACCTTGGATATTTGTTTTTATTCTCATTTACATGAATTTTTTTTTTTACTTCTTCTCTTACTCAGTTTATATTTTTCTTTTTTAATATATATTTTACATTAGTTTCTCTGTACTTGGTCTTTTTTTCCTTGATCTTCCTAATGTTGATTTTTAAAAATTTTATAGCATTGTGATTTAAGAAGATGCTTTATTTTTTGTTTTATTTTATTGAGACTTGCTTTGTAGTCCATAGGGAGTTGCATAGCCTCCCTGGCAGTTCAAATCTACCAATGGCTCGGCAGTCTCCTGCTATTTTGTTTACAGCCTTGGAAACCTGCTAAAGAGTCAGCTATGAGTCAGCTCCAACTTGACAGCAATGAGTGAATGATTGTGGCCCAACAGATGGTCTATTCTAGAGAACATCCCAGGTACTCTGGAGAAGAATGGATGTTGTGCTTTTGTTGGGTCTATGAGATCTTGTTGGTTAGTTTTATTGCTTATTCTTTTCTGTGTTTTTGTTGAGTTTCATTCACTGAGACTGGTCCATTGAAGTCTCCTACTATTATTGTGGATTTTTCTAATGTGGAGTATTCAATTCTGTTAAAATTTTATATATTTTGCAGTTCTATCATTGAGTATATGGATATTAATTATAATTATTTATTCTTGTTCAGTTGGCCCTTTGGTTATTATATAATGCTCTTTTTTGTTATAAAGATTTTGCCTTGAAGTCTAATTTTTCAGCAGTTAGTATTGTCACTCTTGTTCTTTTAATTGCTATTTGCATGACATCTTTTTTCCCTACCCTTTGAGTCTAAGGTGTGTCTGTTGTAGACAGGATTTTGATGGATCATGTCTTCTTACCCATTCTGTTACTCTTTTTCTCTTGATTGGTATATATAACACATTCATATTCAAAGTAATTAAGTATGCTTTTCTGTGCTGA